CCCTGCATTTTCCCTCCTATTACACGACCTTCCTCCAGGCGGAATCCATCGTCTTCAGCGTCATCCAGGCTCCTCGACACGACACCATCGACCGCACCATCAACAGCCAACGCTACCGACAGATCAGCAGCTTCACCATGGATGACATCTACCAGAACCGCATCAGTTACAACCACGACAGCTCCAACTTGCTAAAAGACCACTTCACCTTCCGTGACCGATAGCACCAACCTGCTCTTCATGGTGGAGGACAACGGAAAAGAGGGGTGTGTGTGTGTGTGTGTGTGTGTGTGGACAGTTTTATTACATTGGGATGATTGAAATGGCAGAGTGAGGGCATCTCTGCAAGAGTGTGCGTGCTCTGACCTTTTGTGAATTTGTGTATTCATGTGCTTCTGTCTTTGTGAGGATAGAAGCTGGGCACTTTTGCAAAGGGCGGGCACCTCCGGAAACAGAGATTGAAAATATTTTTGCAAAGGACATGTTTGGAAGGACAGGCTATTTCTGTAGCATGGAAGGAGCAGCTTTATGTTTGCCGCTCACCACAGGTTGAGCAAAAGAGTGGGTGAAGTTTTGCCTTTTCCCATCCTCCTGTAAGCTTTGATGTTTTTTGCTTTTCTTGCTTCAAATATTCATAAAAAATTAGGATAATTTTCCTTTTGTGTGTCATAGTGAATACTAATAAACCATGTACTACATGTGCATTTTAAAAACTCACATCAATTGGCTGATGGTGTATAATATTAAAAGGAAGTAAAGGCTACTTTTTTATAAGGTATGCAGAAAATGCTTATCTTATCAGGTTAGTGTGGGATCACCGCAGTCATGGTTGGGATATATGGTGTACAGCCGCAGTTAGTGCCAATTTATGTTTCCAAATCATACCCTTATGACTCCTTAAAATGAAGCCATGGCTTTCTGACTCCCTTCAAGTTCAATCTTTTTTCACTTCTGAGATAGGACTTTTTAATGCCTGAGGATTAGCTATTCCTCAGAGCTGTTGGGACTCACAAATTGGAAACCGCTGCTCCTGAGCTTTCCTTCTAAACTCCCTCACTGGATGACATAAACCACAAAGACTTCTGTATCAGTGTATAAAGAGCCTGCTGTTTCCTTCACTGCATCCAGTTCAGTGTTGCATCGGTGCCCTCTTCTGTTCATCCTGCATCCTTCGTGCTGCTGCAGATAAAACTCTCTTACTGTTGGAAGGTAAAGGAGGGGGAAAAAAAAGACTCCTTTACATTTTGCCTTCACAGTGAGAAGGAAAGCTTGACCCCACATTCTTCACTCTGATCATTTCTCCTGAATGACAATGCGTATCTGCTGTATTTTCTGTTGCACGTGTTTACTCAGCTAATTTGCAGTTTAAATCAGCAGTTCTCTCATTATGAGCCTGCTTATGTGCACCTCAACGTTGCAGATGAGGATCAGTGTCAGCCTGATGTTGTAAAATGTTGATCCTCCAGGCTGGAGGATCAACAAACAGCCACTTATTATTGTGGCAACAAGCACAGTAACTAGTTATGCCAAAATCAGGAACACGTTTATCATTACTGGGATTTAGATAGGGTCGTTATTGGTTACTTCTTGTGTTGCGTTCGACTTACCTCGGAAATCAGAACACGGACCTGGGAATGATGTCACACCCGAGTAAACGGCGTTCTGGTTAGGGGATTCCAATATGGCAACGCCCTTGAAAACGGTTATTTTGCTAGCCCTCTACAAAAACAAATTACCAATAAACACATATGCAGCTCATCTGCAGTCTGGGGTTACCTACATCTTCCTACTCGCAAGGCAGAATTTCCGAGTTCCGAGTACAAACGAAAGCACCACGACTGCAGTTTCTGTGTTGGACGTAAAAAGCGCACGTGACGCTGTGACGTAGGCTTAGACCACTGAAGCACTTAATCTACCATCATATTTTATTTATCTACATGGCCTGACTGGAGGAAATATTATTTTGGTTAAATATTGACTATTTATGAGGCTGAAAATACTTATTATTTATTTTATGTTTCTTTGTGAGGCTCAAAATACTTTAAAGTTTGCCCATCATTACTGAACATGATGTCTCCAGTTGGTGCAGTTCAGCTGTTTTCAGTTAAGTTTACGAAGAATGGACAAACCTCACTGTGTTTATGTTGGACCATTTTTGCACTGCATTTTTGCTCTATTTTGATACCTACAGCTCCTAAATGGTCTGAGGCACATTTAATGTTGGCACTGCTAGAAGTATACTTTCTACCCATTTCAATGGCAAAAATAAATATACTTTTCAAAAGTTTCAACACACTGTATGTCGTGTTTTGTCATCCACTGATTCTTCCTAGTGATACTACGTACAATGATTAGATTTATAACACTGCTGCATCAACTCCAAAATGATGTGTTTGCATTTATAGAGCTTTGAAAATACAGGGTGTGAGCTGTGATTGAAATTCAAATTTCCAAAAACTTTATTTATTTAATACAATTTCGTGCCATGCTATTTGAGATAACAGTGTTGTTATTATATTTGAGGCTTTTGCTTTGCACTGAAGTAACAGTACCTTTTATGGACATCTAAGTTCAGAGACGATTCACATTAGCAGTCACTGCATTGTTGCTCTTGCCCTTCATGCATTCATTAGATTGCAGGCTGTTGTGTGTTTTCAGGTGGTTTAATACGTTTACTGTGTCCGAACAAACTCGATCATGATCTGCTTCTAGAGACAAATTGTTTACCGTCTGCTGTGCCAGACATTTGAATTTTGCTTCGATGGTCTGTTATCTGTAGTTTATCACTGCAGTCAAGCACATTTGGGAAATTTCAAGTTGTGCAGTGCAGGAAGCAGCTGTGACTGACACAGGCAAGCACGTCATCAGGTAGTGACATAGGGAGCACTTCATGTTTGCTTTGTGTTCTGTTGACAGACCAGTATCGATCAATCGATAGTTTTCACGTGATGTGACAGCTACTGGGACATGCCTGCCCGTCCTTTCACTGTGCAGCCATTCTTTTAATCTCTTTCAGTTTAACTTGGCCTAAATGCTATCAAATGCATTAATCAATGTTAGAGCTGCTAGAACAGCGTAGATTATGACACCAACACGTAAGCACATCTCTCCTAACCCCACCTTACAGGTTCAAATCCCACCAACCCCTGCTTCTCAACAGCAACCACGCCTGTCAGTGGCGGCTCATTTAAACTGTAGGAATGATTTAGCTGACATTGGAAAAATACTCGGTTAACTTAATTGATATGGCACGTGTTGCGAAATCAGTTTCACCCCGGTTCTTTTATTCGTCGAGGCATCCAGAGACGGCACCGGAACTCAGTAGTTATTTCACAAAACCTTTGTTCATCTTTATTCATCTTCATTTAAGCATGCACTTCTAGAAGGGAAGACGAGGCCGGTGTGTCCCTCTGCAAAATCTTCACCCCTTTGTTAGTTACAGCCAACTTTATAGAGGCGTCCCCATCATAAAACCCCCCCACAGTGTGCTGCAAACTCTGTGTCTGTGTCTATGTGAGTGCTCGTGTGTGACTGTGTACGCATGTGTGAGTGCACATGAGTGAGTGTGCGTGTGGATGTGTGTACGTGACAGTTAAAACACTGTGGGTGTAGGTGACTCCCTAGAGGTCATAAAACCCATCTCCCTTCCAGACCCCAGTTATCCAGTTACAAATGTTGAAACCTTTCACAGTTCAACTGGGGGAGGGGTCTCCTACAATTTACTCCTAAATTCAGTCAGGCCTTTATTACATTGAGGGCAGTGTCAGTGTCTCTAAAATAATTCTACATTCTATGTTAACACATTTCGAAACTCTAAAATAAGCTAAACATTCCTACACACGGCATTAATGTGACAAACTAAAATACCAGAACGTTTCTGGTCCTACACTTTAAATGTCTCAGTCAACAAAACGTAACCTGTAGCACTTAATTTTGTTTTAACCATGAAAAATTTCTTGTTTCTTACATCCCACAGGGCAGCATTATTTACCCATTATTTACCCATCAGGATCAAAAACATACGTAGCTGTTCGCACTTTGAAAACTTTTATCCTGGCAGCAGTGTAAGGTGAGCGATTCTCTACAAAATACCACTAGATGTCACCAAATTGAAACTCTGGGAGACACATCGCCGCTTTCAGGAGTTTTAAATAAAGCTGCCAGGTCAGAAAAGAGATCACAAGTCCCCAAAATTTATAATTTCTCTTCATATCTTTGTTTTTCCTATGATGTTGTACCTGCCAGTGTAGCGAGTCAGTCACATGACTGAAAACTATTAAGAGAACTAGCTCTCTTATTGTGTGTATACAAAATGAAGTGAAATAGTTTGATAAAGATGTTAACAGACTTAAACCTTAATCTTTAAAGTTTTATCATTTTCACAGTCAGAGCTGGGGGGTCACGTTCATGCAAACTGTAAGTGTTAGATCACATCAAGCTCAAAAAAGAATTCATCCCTCTCAAAATAAAACAAACTGAGGTGTCACAGCAGCATACATGCAACATACAACAAAGCAATATATGAGTTATTAATCTTTAACATTAACTAATAATGTTGTTGGTTAAACAGAAGCATCAACTGAGTCTTGATTTCAGTATAGGTGTGGAAAGTTTAGGTGATGCTGACTGGAAACCACAGATATCATGGTTGATAACCGACTATTAGCTCTCTAATCAGTTAGTTTCTAATTCATTTAGTAAAAGTTGTCTGTCTTTACATTTACATTACTATGTGAAAAAGAACATTTAGGCCTGTGTTACATTCTATGGGACTCTTTTGCTCTGTTTGCACATTTCAGAAACAATAAAAATATTGAACCCGCTGGTTTATTTTAACTCTTTTCACCATACTAATATATAATACATATACATGCTAATATGTATAATGCATAAACAATTAAGCATGGACAATATGTAGTTAATAGTAGGACTAGCTGGGGACGGTGGCCCCAAAATCTGCCCAAGGCTCCGCAAAACCTTGGGCTGGCTGCCCTCCAGTACTCTAGGTGGCGCAGAAGTGCAAGCAAATCACTTAAACACTTTTGTCCCTGGACGGCTTCCTTCCACAGCGTGGACGTGAATGACATTCTGAGCTTTCATAAGATTGCTCACTTCTGCTGGATGCGAAGATGTCCTTAACCTTTTTGTTCAGAACATTAACAAGAGATGTCGCAAAGGTAAGGGCATGATTGACGTTTAACTTTAAACTCGTGTTGTTTGTCTCGCTGAGTTAGCCTCCTGCGTTTGTGGGACATCTTCAGTGACTTAACTTTGCTAATTCATTCGCATTTCGTGCATTTCATAGCCACTTGATATCACAGCAGAAGCAAAATTTACTATAAATTTGTATTTACTGTGACCAATGGCATAGAATGGGTCCTCAAATACATAAATGTGGCTGCTTTGTTGAAGTTGTGGTGTGTGCTCCTCTGTGTCTCTAAGGTCAGTGTTGGCCAGCATGTGCAGTCTTTACACACGGGATGTCAGCTGCTGGCAGCAGAGAAAGCCCTCCTCATGAAACTGCGGAAAAGCACCGGCTACACTTTTATTAACTGTAAGAAAGCCCTGGAGAAGTTTGATAATGACGTAGCACAGGTGAGGGCCTCTCGTAATCTGTCAGGTGCTGTTCGGCGTTATGTCTTTGACACTAATGAGCTGTGGGACTGTTTTCAATGTAATTTGGCAAATGTTCAGGCAGAGACATGGCTGCATGAGCAGGCCCAGAAGGAGGGCTGGAGCAAAGCAAACAAGCTCGAAGGTCGCAAAGCCAAAGAGGGCCTGATCGGCGTGTTTGTGGGGGACAAAGCTGCGGTAATGGTTGAGGTAAGCCCACTGGTGCGGGGATTCATTAGCCATCTCCTCCTAGTTCTTCTCCTTTTTTCTTTTTCTCAACAACTTGGTCTTTTGTCTCTCTGTTTGTTTGTTTGTTTGTTTGTTTGTTTGTTTGTGATGCAGGTGAACTGTGAGACAGACTTTGTGGCACGCAATGAGAAGTTCCAGCAGCTGGTTAAGGATGTGACATTTGCCACCTTGGCCCACTTCAGAAATAAAACTCAAAGTCAGTCGGGATATGTAAAGGTAAGGATGCATGCTGAGGCCTGGGAGTAGAAATAAATGTTTATTTTATTTTAATTTCATAAATGTTAATGGAAACAGATCATTATTGTGTCACAACTTCACCTACCTCTAAGGTGCATGGAAGTCTAAACTAAAACATGATTTAGCATGTGGCCTTCAGACCAAACATAATAGAGTAGGTATGAACCAGAAAGAATGCACAGCAGTACATCAGCAACAAGGTACATCAACATGCACACCAACCAATGGGGCACCTACAGGGACGAGCATCGCAATTGGTCCTGCAGCTTCAGGCAAACGTGAGCTGTGTACAGCCATGACCAAACACTGCTAGTTGTTCATTTAAATTGAATCTGGTGTTTTGAACATCCTGTTATGCCACACCAGTACTTGAACTCTTAAAACTGATTTGTGCAGCAACTTTTTGATACACCAGAGTTTTTAATGTGTCAGTGCTGACAGAGTAACACTTATGACGCGTGCCAGATGAGAATATATTGCAGCTTCCTTCAAGAATGCTTCTGGGAACCTGGGAAACGATGATGATGTTACCCATCTCCTTTATTAGATAGTTCTGTTTCCTCTTGACCAGGTCAACCTGAAGCTGCATAACCATATGTCCCTCCAAAGGTGAAATGAAACGCACAGATTACAGAAATTATGGCAGTGCACGCTTTAACAGTGTTATCAGTCGTTCATTGGGTTTGGTAGGTTAAAAGTGCATTACTACTTCAGTGTTTTGGTTTTTTGTTGTTCTTTTTGTTTTTTACTACTTCAGTGTTGCATACTTTTTCTGTGGTCCAACCTTAAATCTTCAATCTAATCAAAATATGAGCTAAAATGTTGTATTTTCTTTAAGAACAATTGTATTTAACAAAAAAAAAAAAAGAAAATCAACCTCACAGGCCTTTGGCTATACATTTTTTATGCTACCCAGTTATATGCAAAGTATTAGGCTAATGGATGACCCACCTGCCACTGGGACACCAACTTCAATACAAGAGCAGTAAATTTAAGTCAGAGTAATGAGTAGTATTGTAAAGTAACCACATCCCATTACCAGTTTAAATTCCCTTTTTGTATAAATACATTTTATATAAATAGGTAACTGTACATACTTGTGAGTAATTTCAAACTGAATTTGTGTCTGAATTTGTGTGGCCCACCTGCAGAACCTTCATAGCCCACCAGGGGGCTCCCGCCAACACTTTGGGAATCACTGCTCTAGTCACTTGTGTAGCAGTCCTTACACTAACAAACTGGCTTTTCTTTCCAGAGTGTCCTGTCAAGCGATGACTTAAGCAAACTCAGCGTGGGTGAAGGAACTTCACTAGCTGATCAGGTGGCTCTCACTATAGGTCAGTACTTTGCCTAAGGGACACTGCTCATTGTAAAGCACTTTTCACACATGGGACATATAACACTGCAGTCTGTTAAAATTATGGTTTTCTGTTATTCAGGCATTTCACTTTTATGCTCACAGCTTAATAGAAATATAAGATGGAGAGAAATGTGGTGCACACTTAAAGTAAACTGCTCAGAAAAATATGTTAAACACATCAGATCTCAATGGGGGGGGGGAGAGATCATGTTGGATATCGATGTATCTATAAGGATGCCAAATTCTTTGATGGAAAGGAAAATTAGCAGCCTGCAGAGGGCTGAATTTAAAGATGCCCTTGAAATCAAAGTGAAAACATTATGTGGCAGGCTAGTCTGTCTTACAAAGATTTTATTGCAGCAACTCAAAATGGTACTCACTAGTTTGAATGGCTCCCATGTGCTTGTATTGCATGCCTGATAACGTGGGGACATGCTCCTAATTAGGAGTCCTGGGGGATCTCCTCCCAGATCTGGACCACAGCATCACTGAGCACCTGGACAGTCTGAGGTGCAGACTGGTGAGGTTGGATGGACCGAAACATAATGTCCCAGATGTGTTCTATCGAATTTAGATCAGGCGAGTGTGGGGGACGGTCAACTGTATCAAATCTTTCATCCTTCAGGAACTGTCTGCTAACTCTCGCAACATGGCACCGGCCATTTACATGCGCTAGGATGAACCCAGGATCCACTGCTCCAGTGTGGGGTCTGACAATGGGTCCAAGGATTTCAAGGATAGCTAATGGGAGTCAGGGTGGCATTCCTTAGCCATCACTGACCCACCACCAAACCAATCATGCTGAACAATGTTGCAGCCAGCATAACGTTCTCCATGGCTTCAACAGACCCTTTTGCATCCATCACACAAGTCTGTGCTCAGGGGGAACCGTTTCTAATCTTTGAAAAGTACAAGGTGCCAGTGGTGGACCTGCCAATTCTGGTATTGTTTGGCTAATGACAGTTGAGCTCCACAGTACTGGGCAGTGAGCATAGAGCCAGCTAGGGAACGTTGGGTTCTCAGGCCACCCTCATGAAGTCTGTCTCTGATTGCTCAGACACATTAACATTTACACCAGTGGCCCGCTGGAGGTCGTTTTGTAGCTCTGGCAGTGCTCAAGTTCCTTCTTGCACAAAGGAGTGGAGACCGGTCCTGCTGATGGGTTAAAGAACCTTCTGCGGCCCTAGCCAACTCTCCTAGAGTAACTGCTTGTCTCCTGGAAACTCCTCCATGCTCTTGAGGCTGTGCTGCCACGCGGCGGTCCTTCTGGCAATGACACATACGAGTGTACCATCATAGAGGAGCTAAACTACCTGTGTAACCTCTTAGGGTCCAGATATTGCCTCATATGACCATGTTAATTTAATGAACACCAATCAGCTGAAACCGATTAACAACCCCCTCTGCTACTTGACTGACCAGATCAATAATATACTCTGATTAAAAAGTGTAACTTTTTTTGAGCAGTGTATGAAATATTGTAACAATACATTCAGACTTTGGCTGTTAAACTGATGCAGTAGGCTGGATGTTATTAGGCAGTTAAAGTTTTACAGAAAAGTTGCTAGGCTAGGTTGTTCATTCAAGTGTAAAGCTGACATGTTTAGATGCTGTCAGATTGTCAGGAAGGAGTGCATGCTGTTTGGTTTGAAACAAAATGTAAATAAATAGAAATATAATCGGAACAAAATTTGAAATTGTCAAGTTTTTGAATTGTTGCTTAATAGCATGAAAATGAACAGTCTGTTGCAGCAGGCTTTGGTTTTATATCGGTGCCTCTTGCTCCTCAGGTCGCCTTGGTGAGAACATGTCTTTGAAGCGGGCAGTGACGGTGGGCATCCCTGCTGAGTGGAAAATTGGTTCATATGTACACGGCGGCATCAGCACCCAGACAGAGGTAGCCATGGGCCGTTATGGAGCCCTGGTCGTATTTCAGGGTGGAAAGGAAGGAGAGCAGGAAATGCTAGGTCGTAAACTGGGACAGCATATAGTGGGAGAGTCGCCTTTGTCTCTGGGTAACATGGATGACCTGCCCTGTGGCGAAAGTGAGACACGCCTGCTGCCTCAGACCTTCCTGGCAGACCCCAGCAGGACTGTGGCACAGTTCCTCAGAGGTCAGCAGGCTCGAGTGCTAGACTTTGTCCGATTTCAATGCGGCGAGACGACTGAAGACGCAGAATGAAGAGAGGGAAATTGTACATCCAGCTGAATTTGACATGTCTTCATTTCATGTGTGAATATAATTCAGGTTTTTGTGTACTCTGTAAGACTGAGGCATCACAGTCACACAGCATCATGAATTTGAAAGAGTGTGCGCCCGCAAACACTGGTACCTGATGAAATGACCAATCCAACATTAAAATCTTTTTCCTGAAAACCCTGTCTTAGTATTTCATTTTATACACTATTCTGCATTTTAACACATAAATATACTTTTTTTTTTTAAATGAAAAGGTTTAGTGGTAATTATTTTCTTTCTTTATATATGACGAACCTCTTGCTTTGTAACCTAACTGAACTTACCATCCATCCATCTTCCGCTTATCTGGGGCCAGGTCGCGGGGGCAGCAGCCTAAGCAGAGAAGCCTGGACCTCTCTCTCTCCCCAGCCACCTCTTCCAGCTTGTCCTGGGGAACACCATGGCATTCCTAGACCAGCCAAGAGAGATTATCTCCAGCATGTCCTGGGTCTGCCCCAGGGCCTCCTCCTGATGGGACATGCCTGGAACACCTTACCCAGCAGCCATCCTTGTGAGATGCTCGAACCACCTCAAATGGCTCCTTTCAATGTGCAGGAGCAGTAGCTCTACTCTGAGCCCCTCCCGGATGGCTGAACTTGCTCTAAGGGAGAGGCCAGCCACCCTTCAGAGAAAGCTCATTTTCACCGCTTGTATCTGTGATCCCGTTCCTGACAAATTGCCCAACCTGTTATGCATCCTCATTGCAAAGAACAACATTTTTAGCAAAACCACTTTAAACCTTATCACTAAATTAGGTTAATTTATATAGTACCAAATCAAAACAACATTCATCTCAAGGTGCTTTATACTGCAAGTTAAAGCCAGTACAGTATTGTGGAGAAAACCCTAACAAACAACCCCCTTACGAGCAAGCACGTGAAGACGGTGGGAAGGAAGAACTCACTTTTGACAGGAATAAACACCTCAAGCAGAACCAGGCTGAGGGAGGGCAGCCAACTGCGACTGGTTGGGGATTGAGAGAAGAGAGAGTATCAGATGATGGGGCCAAACAGACTGAAGAAAATAAAATAAAAAAATTTATGATATGCTTCAGTGAAGAAGTGCTCTGTGCACACAGTATATCAAATGCCTCATCAAAAACAAGCCTAGAGCACCCTATAAATCATGTCAAAGTCATTTTATTGTGGTCCACATGCAGCCCACAATGATCTTAAGTGGGTTGCACCAGTAAAACTACATGATGAATTTGCAAAACTGGGGGGAAAAGCTCTGGCAGTTCAAAATATAAAGTTTTTATTAATTTACAGAAACGTTTACAGAGGTTCCTGTTAATAGAAAAAGCTATACATTCGTTAAGTGCTGTTGCTTCAATAAAAATAGAACTGAGGAATTTCACCCATTTGATAACCTATTGTCAGGGTAAGCAGATGCAATGTAGGCACAAAGCTGTCAAGCTGCCTGATTATTGGCTCTTCACTGAGCCCGGGATTAAAAAGTAGGCGGTGTTAGGTTAAGTCTAAAGGACAGCGTCATCTGTCACAGGTTTATACCATTAATGTGTGGCGATAGCAGGACTCAACGATGGGAATTCCCCGTTAAAAATATTCGATATTACAGCGTTCATGCAGTAGCTGTGCTTTACATTTGTGTGTTAATGTGTCGCATCTTATTTTTTCAGAAAACCGGAAGGGGGTGTGTAGCACGCGTGCAGGTTATGGCTCTGCAGCACCGTGCTGCACCACAAACGAGCTGCAACCCTGCAACTATGCGAGAAATGCAGCTGTTAAATGGAGGCATGTGATTGGCTGTTGCTGCCAAAGCAACGGTGACATCACCGGGGATGTACCACGCAGGAGCCGTTTGAGTCCTCGGAGCTCAGAGGAGGTCCAGCAGCTTGAGCCATCTGTCATCTAAACCCTCTAAAAAAAAACAAACATGGTAAGTCAAAGATTCCCGCAGAAAATTTTATGGAAATATCGGCATTTTGCTGTATTTATGGAAAATGATTTTACCATCTCATAATCCAGCCCAGGTAACGCTAAATGCGAATCTGCTAGCCTGCTTCACTCACTCGAGCCTTTAGCTCCGAGCCGTTTCTTGCCTGTAATTGATGGCATTGCGGGATTAAGTCATCTGTAAATCTCACTGAAGTCTCTGTCGTTTTGTCTCATCTAACTGTTTCTCCTCTCTCTCTCTGAACTGTGCCTCAACCAGTCCGACCTAACGGAGGACCAGATCATGGGTGAGTCTCATTATGAAAAGGTGTTAAAGGGGTTTATTATCCATAACATTCATCGGGTTAATGTAACCAGTACATATTTAGAAAAAAAAGAAGAAAGCTCTGACTTCTGGCCCTGTACTTGAGTAGGATCGCTGCAGGTAAATGAGAACTGCAATGTGAAAGTGAGCTAAATTTAACTCACCTCACTGAATGGCATTCACTGTGGGAAACCTGAAGGCGCCTCACGACTCAAACTGGACAAGCGTTTAACTCTGAGTTCATCACTAGTGCTAACCTGCAAAACAGGACTTGGGTGAAACATGTTGATTTGTTTGCATGCTTGAGCTTTTTAAATGTGTGATATGCTAGCAGACACAATAACGACTCACATTTTTGTGGTGTAGGTGTGTCAAACGGCACTGAAACACAGTTTACATTGTTTGCTAGGGTACGTTTGCTTTGTAGTGTTTTTTTTTTTTTTTTGTTTTGTTGTTTTTTTTAACAGAACAGAAATGCTTTTCATGCTTTTGTAATTTTGTGCTGCACACTGACCACTGACAGTGAGGAGAGGACTTGGTTTATGTGAAGCGTGTCAGTTTTTGATTCCAGTGGAAAAAACTACATTGTGTATTTTATAGTAATGAAATGCTGTGTATTATTTTTACTGTAAGAGCACCATTGATTGCGAACAAGTATTTACAGCCGTGAGAATTTTATTGGCCCACTTGCTAACCTCTTGCTTTTTTGAAATGAAATGCACAGAAGCTGCTAGCGTTTACTGTCAAAACAACGTATGAAAAATCACGTTTTCCTTCCTACATACAGGGTATCAATAAAGCTTTAGTGCACACGTCATTACCTGTGTCATGAAGGCCTGTCTGTAATTTTTGGGAACCTAACATGCTCTGCCGCTGAACTGGAGTTCTGCATTTGCTTTCCTTCTCACTAGAGTTTAAAGAGGCCTTCCTTTTGTTTGACCGGACGGGCGAGGGGAAGATCACCTACAGCCAGTGTGGCGATGTTATCAGAGCTCTGGGACAGAACCCAGTCAATGCTGAAGTACTCAAAGTCCTGGGAAACCCCAAGCTGGAAGGCTAGTGTCTGATTCACTACTCACAACAAAAGCAGATGACTATCACCGCAGCATTAGTTTGTTTTGGTTAAGAGTGTGGTCAGGTGTACAATTACAAGGTCTCGTTATAACCGCCGCAAAGTAGTACAGGTGATAAGTCACTGCTTAGTGGCTTACTTTGTCAGTGTAACTTGTAAGAGTCACACCTGAACTAAAACACATGTCTGACTAAATTTACTGCTGTGTGCAAACTGAGTTTTGATCATAATAACAATGTGCACAAAACATTATTTATCTGATGCTACTGTTGGCTGTTCCCTTGCCCAAAGGGTCACCACAGCAGGTCCAAAGAAAGTGGCAGCAGAAAAAACATAGCTCTGAATGCAGATGAACAGGTTATTTGTGTCAGCCTTAAATATCATCTCCCACATCCATGTGACTGAACTCTGAATCATCACCATGAATGGGCAAGAAACAAAAGCCTCACAGAAAAACATCACAAAATTCTACTAAATTCAACCCAAAAACTCACATTATCTCAAACGTATTCACTTATTCACCTTCACCATTGAAGGCTCACTGTTGTTTGTCCCCCTGCAGAGATGAACACCAAGATGCTGGATTTTGAGCAGTTCCTGCCCATGTATCAGGCCATTGCTAAGAACAAGGACCAGTGCTCCTTTGATGACATTGTTGAAGGCCTGCGCGTCTTTGACAAGGAGGGAAATGGCACAGTGATGGGAGCTGAGCTGCGTCATGTCCTCACCACATTAGGTAAGACCTGCAGAATACATGAAGTATTAGTCACGATCTATAAATCACAGTTGGCCTGCGTTCAAGTATTTATCTGTGTAAAGGCTGTGCTTTCTGCTTCTTTCAAATGTCTATTTCTTAATTCTGTGCTTCAGTGCTAATATGTTCTTCTTTATCTTCTAGGTGAAAAGATGACAGAAGAAGAGGTGGAGACTCTTTTAGCGGGACATGAAGACGCCAATGGCTGCATTAACTACGAAGGTAGATCATTGTGCATAAAAACCTTCTTAACAACAAATAAGAATCTCCAAAAGTTTATTCTGTTCATCTGGCCGTAGCGTTTTCAGTGGGAGAAACGTTTCGTCACTCATCCAAGTGACTTAATCAGTGACAAATAACAAATAAGAACCAGTTTATATGAGGAAAAATAACACTACTGCCATTGATTTTTACCCCTGAGCTGTAAAAGGCTGATGGGGTATTGTCATTACCCCGCTGGGCAGGCAGGCGGCATGGACCAGTGGCAGAACTAGGGTGACACATCCCTCTTCAGTGAAGTATGTGAAAATCCCCTATGCATAAATGGAGTCAACAAAATGTCCACAAAAACACAATTATGGGGGGGCAGCTTTTAAGGACATAAAAGTTTCCCCCCTTGCGTGGACACCCAAGTTTGTGAATTCGGTAACGTAATAATAAGGCGACATAGAATTTTGAAATTATACCATAGGTTCATCAATTAAAAATCTTAGATGAAATCAAATCTCAAAGTCAAGTTCAAGTTTCAGTAGCTTTTGTAAATTTCTCACACGTAGCACAGGAGATCGTTTTACAGAGTGTTTGGTTTAGATGTGCTGTGGTGCCAGCTACACATATTTACCTGCTTTATTGTCACATAATCTTAGTGGGACTTTGCGCAGCCTTGTGTCGGGCTAAAAACTGTGTGATATTCATTTCATCAGAGTTGGACATTTGAGTTCTCAGTTGCAGCTTTGTTGGGTATTGCCTAAAATAGATTTCAGGCTGCATTGGATGAATGTAGGGCCGCTGTACACAGTGTTTTTCTGTCTACGGAGGCCCTGAGTCAAACACACTGCAACACTGAAATGCCAGCAGGCAGAATTGGGAAGA